ATCTTTCTTCAATGCGCTGTTTTCTTGTTGGAGCTCACGAAGTTCCTCCTCCAACTTACTGGCCTTCTCCTCCAGCTGACGCGTCAGTCCACTTGTACTGATAGATTTGTTTGCCATCTCATCGTGCAACTCTTGTAGATCTTTCTGAGCCTGGTCCTTCTCCATGACTGCTTGACTTGCAGCATCCCTCGCCTCTCGGGCATCCGACTTCGCCTGATCCAGCGACTCTTGTAACTCTTCCATCTGCTCTTTCGCACGTTGCAGTTCTGATTCCAGCTCAGTAAGTGCATCGCGTTCCTTGCCGTCTCTGTCCTTCAATTCTTCGATCTCCTCTTCGCGTTCCTCGATAACCCGGTCCCGCTCCCTTACCGACGCCTCGAGATCTTCAACTTCGTCACGGAGTTTCTCCATTTCTTGAGTTTGGCTGTCCTTGGCATCCCTCAAATCCTCCTGGAGCTCCCTGATTTGGTTGTCTCTCGCTTCGATCTCTTCCCGCATCAAATCCATTTCGCGCTGTATCGTATCATCGGATGGTCTTCCCCGTGCTTTCTCCCTCAGCTCCTGAAATTGTATGCGGTAGGATTCGAGGTCGCGTTCAGCCTGTTGGAGGCTCTTCTTGTAGCGTGAGATGTCGCGTTGCATCGTTAATTTCGAGACCTTTAGCTCTGTGTTTTCCTTCAGCGCTGCTTGGTTGTAGGCGGGTCCGGCCTTCTCCAGTTGCTCCTGCAAGAAATGAATTTTCAATTTCAGACCAAAATTATCCTTGTCTAATTGATCGATCATCTATACTTGTTAGTAACGTCCTCCAAACTATAAACCATATCTTTACCTTCTCCTGTTCCTTCAATGTCATATTATTGCCCTCATTGAGTACACCACCGTTCCTGGACAACCCTGGAAGCGGTGTGCTCTGCACGCTGCTGCTTGCAACCTGCGGGATAGGAGTGGGCTGATCGTCGGTCGCGTCTTCCTCATCAATGTCGGTCATTTCCATCCCAGGCAAACCCGGCGTGTTGCCATTGCTCAAATAACTCCTGCCGATATGTCCCGGGGTCTTTGGTCCGCGCGTCGTAGACATATTTCGCAAGTAATTGTTCTTCGTGGCACTCCTCATGAGGGGCGTAAATTCACCCTTGGGAGGCGCTGCTGTGGGAAGCTGATGTCGACTATTTAACGCGCTTCTTGCCGATTTGGAAGCTGCGCCTGCACGCGGCGTGTTGATCTTGAAACTCCCAGAAGTCCGCCTTCGACCGTCACCAAGACCTTTGAGGAGGTCATCATCCTTGGATGGTGTAGCAAACGAATTTTCCACTGAGTCAAGTGCCGTCAAATTGGGTCGTCCCACGCTGCGATAGCCGGTCATATAAGTCGCGTTTCCGTCGACTTCGGTGCGCGGCGTGTCGATGTACGGATACGCCATGGTCGACGGGTAAAACGCGGGGTTATAGTGCTGAAGGTTGGTGTGAACAGTGTAGGGGAAGGTGCGAATGCCATTCAATGGGAAACCATCGCCGACAGCACCACTGGAAATCGGGGAACGCGGCGGAGGGGACTGACAATCTAAGGTAGTACTGGAAATGCGATGCGATACGGGACGTGTTTTGGGCGGTGAGGCCTCAAGCCCTCGTTCTTGTTGACATCTAGCCCAACGCGACCTAGCGCCCGGGTCACGGGGCCCGGGCCAAGCAATTCGCCGCGTCTCGTCCGGTATGAAGTCATGCCGTAATTTATTTTCCAGTTTCTGATTATTGAAGTTGGTTTGAGTTGAACTGCTGCACACATTCAAGGCAGGGAAGTGAGCCTGCTGCAGATCATCCGCATCATGGCGCCCATGTCCGAGGAGGACCTGGAGTGGTTCAAGTCCACTTTCCACCCCATCCCCAAGCCGGAGATCCCTGACGATAGCGTCGATTATTCTCTTTACTATATTCCTTCCAGCCCCGCCCCCGCGGTGGTCGACGAAGTCGCTGAAACGCGTGCGAGATTGGCAGAGGTGCAACGTACCTCTGCAGAATTGGTAAAAGAACTTCTAAAGGATTATATCTGGCAACGTGAAAGCTTTCGGCTGGAGATCACGAAAGATAATGGTGCGCCGCGTTCTTTCATGTATACTAATTTCTTGTTCCAGCCACTGACGGATACCTAGGAGTCACCTCTTTGCATGGCCGTACCAACTTCGGAGATTCAATCGAGGACGAGTGGGTGATCGTATATCTGTTGCGCGAGTTGACTAAGAAGCACAAAAATGTCTGGGCGAAAGCTGTGGATGGTGATGGTCAGTTCCTTTTGGTGGAAGCTGCCGCCACGCTACCTGCTTGGCTTGAACCTGAGGTAGCAGATAACAGAGTTAGTGGCGTATTCGTTGTAGTGTCTGTTATGTCGCAGGCTAACTTCCTCCCAGGTCTGGATTAACCAAGGTCAACTTGTCATAATTAAGCCCAGGAACGATAAGAAAGATAGAGTGACAGAGAAGATATCGCTATCGGATGCAAAGAAGATCATCATGGAGGAGCCGGGGCGTCTTATGAGATCTACCATGATTCAAGAGGAGGCGTTCTACCGCTTGCGTAACTATCCCCAACAGATCAACGAAAACCTTCACTCCGCGTTCGTGACCATTCCTCGCAAAATTGCCTTCCTACTTCATCAGAAGCCCGCATATATCTCTGCCGCTGTCGAAGCCTTCTATCTGCGCGACCCGATTGCCCTGCGACCTCTTCGATCCAAGGATGCCGACAGCTTCATCTTCAAGCCTGAAGATTTCGTCACCGTGAGCGTCCGCTTCACGCGGGTTGGATATGCTCAACTCAAAAGCCAGGACTTTCCAGTACCGAAGTCATGGAACGATAAACTACCCACAACAGATGATCAGAAAGCATATGATCGGGCCGAGATAGGCATGAAATTGGCTTGTGGGTTTGAGATGCTTCTCACGGATCCTCAAAATCAAGACAAGACAGCAGTCAGGGAAATGAAGCTTATCCTGGAAGACCTGGATACTGGTGATGAACAACTGCCCACGGACAAAGACATCGAAGCCTGGGACAAGCGGCAAGATGACGAGAAATGGCTCGACATCAGCTTTGAAGACTTAGATCGGGAGCTCAAAGGCAAGGGGAAAGACAAAGACGGTAGACCGCTCGCCGAGGGTACCTTTGGTGATGCGAACGCGCAAGAAAATCTTCAGCGTATTGTGGCTCAATTCGAGAAGTTCCTGAATGATGATTCGGCTGGCTTCGAAGGAGCAGAATTCTTCGATGACTATGGCACTGATACTGACAATGATGATGAGGATGAAGATGAGATGAGCAGTGATGGTGAAGATAAAGAGGCTTCGTTTGATGAAGAGGAATTTTCGAGGATGATGAAGGAAATGATGGGAATGCCATCAGGCGGCTCTGGCCTGCCGGGCTCGTCTCGGCCTTCGAAGCCGCGGGGGCGAGTGGAGGAACTGGATAGCGAATCCGAGGATGACACCGAGCAGATTAAGGAACTTTCGAAGCAAATGGAGGCAGAATTGAAAGGCACGGGAGTGCTCGACCTCAATCGCAAGCCCAAGACAGCCGGTGACAAACAGGCTTTGGCTGATACCAAGTCAGGTGAAGCGGAGGACGATGACCTACCTGAACTGGATGAGGACGACATTGACATCAACTTCGCAAAAAACCTTCTCGAAAGTCTTCAGGGCCAAGGTGGCGCGGCTGGCCCTGCAGGAAATATGCTTTCTATGATGAATCTAGCTATGCCCAAAGACGATCGTCATCGCTGACACTGCGACTATGAATGACGAGTATCAACATTGTCCCGGGTTGACTGTCAACGAAAATATGATGTATAGCCAGTCGCTAACATTCAGGCCATCAATGGCTCGTCACCAGACGATATGACCTTACATACCTCTGTCGGATAGACAAGAGGTCAGGTGATTCGCTGCCGCTGTTCTATGCTTGCGGCCTATGGGAGTCAAAGTGCTGCTCAGATGAACACTTGCTGCCAGGAGCTCGGATTGAGCCCTATATATACTTCAGACTGCCAACACGTCTATAATGAAGGCGCAGTCGATGTGCAAAGAGAAAGGTCTATTGCGACCTGAATATTTTCTATCTGGAAGTGCATGCCCACACTGACCCGGGGAGAGATGACCATTGGACAATCTTCGAGAAACCACTCCTCATTTTCTCTGGGACTGGCTGCTTCCATGGAGCTGTATCGACCGTATATCGATTGTGATGTAATATATCAAAATCCTTGACCTAATGGGATATCATATCCTAGTATCATAATGATCTGAAGACAACTTAAATGAAGATCGGGTCTCCTAGTCCTAACGCCGCGTAATATATATACGAGACACTTTGTGCATAATTAGGTACTACTAGTAGTGAATAATGAACGTACAATGAAGATTATATACTTATTTCAGTCATACTAGTGTTCAACACTTTATGCAAAAACTACTAATGTCATAACTACAACTACTACTAGTAGTTTGTTACCTCCTGATGTAGCCATCACCATCATCATGATGCTGTATGCTTGGTCCCCCGTGATAAGCCCGATAAGAGTCTGCAGACAAGCCGATAAGCCCCGTGTCGATCACGTGGCGGCGTTATCGGCCGGCCTGGCTCGTACTTCCCCTCGTTGGGCTTTCTTCCCCTCTTTCTTCCCCTCCCTGCTTTGCCTCTCTCAGTTGCTGCCTTTTCCGTGGACTCTCACCTTCTGGGCGGATCCCTGGCACTGGACTGTACGTTGCTGCTGGTCTCTTTAGTTAAGATCCAGTCCATCTCATCTCAAGTCCCGTCGTACCTGTTGTGCTGCAAGTAGCCTTCTGGTGCCGGATTCCCCCGGTCAAGCGGAGCAACCGGGTGTTTGCCTCGAGACAGAACCCCTAGGCTGTGACGAACAGATCAAGATCACCGTCGCTGTTTCTATACATACTCATTGGGAGACCTGATATCGTGATTCTTTCTTTTAAGCAAATATACATCTGGATTTAAAGAATGGCCACCCCGGCTCAATGTTACTACTGTTTCGAGACCCTTGCTGCCTCCTATAGGCGAAGGGAACCCATCAGTCTTGCGTCTGTGGAAGAGCTCTGGGAACAGCACGAACAATATAAAAAGCTCGCCGCGTTAGATGAGGACGACGATTCGCAATTTGTAGACGAGGACGAGAACACCGCGCCGCTTTCTGGAAAGAGCAGTCGCTCTCAGAAGATCAAAGTGCCCCGAGTCAGCCGACTTCAGTCTGGCTCGAGCTCTTCTACAACACAATCCCTCGCGTCTACCAACTCGTCGCAATCTGTCTTGTCAAGCTCAACCACAGTCACGACACCCAGCTCCTCCTCGGACACGGCCAGTGGCAAGCCAAGAGAAGACAAATATCCTCTCTTTGTAACATGGAATACCGTTTCGAAACACGGTCACAAGTCACTCCGGGGTTGCATTGGCACATTTGAGGCGCAGGAACTTGCCGAGGGCCTGAAATCTTACGCTCTCACGTCGTACGTATATCCCTTTCACCATCCATGAGACCGGGCCTTCCACCTACACCTTGGCAAGGCTCGCGCATGCTAACCGCCCACAGCGCATTTGATGATACTCGGTTTTCCCCGATCCCGGAGTCTCTTCTGCCCTCTCTCTCTTGCTCATTGACACTTCTCGGGTCTTTCGAGCCATGCACCAACGCTCTGGACTGGATCCTTGGGGTGCATGGCCTTCGCATCTCCTTCATTCATCGCGGCAGACGCTATGGCGCAACCTACCTCCCTGATGTCGCGGTCGAGCAAGGATGGACTAAAGAAGAGACCGTCAACAGCCTGATGCACAAAGCAGGCTGGGATGGGCCTTCCGAGAGCGTGGCGAGACGGTTTTTGCGAGGCAGCAGCAATGCTGGTCATGGGACTGCCGGCGCAACCAAGCCATGGGAGCAGGTCTCCGATTTCCGAGCCGTCAAGTATCAGGGCCTCAAGGCCAGCAGCAGCTATGCGGAATGGCAAGAATGGCGCCAGTGGGTCCTCTCGCTGGACGATGGGAGCCAGCAGCTCTTGAGCTGACAAGCCAACCAATGATCCCATTCAACCTGGATGTTTAATGATGCGATGGCGTCAGTGAGACGAGAGGCGTTTTATTCTTTGGTTATTTTATGCATTTGGGACATATCTACCACATGTCATGTAAACAGACAATCCGTTTATAAGGACATACTAATCGGGACAACTCCATCTTTCGGGAAAGCCTCCTCGTTTTGCTATAACGCCCATTCCAACGTTAGATTTTATATTTCTATTACTTCCTACAACATTTCGAGCCACAAATACACCGCACCATTTCTCCAAACACATCATTTATACAAGGAACGTTTAAACAGCAAAACCGGTGCATACCCACACCTTACAATCTAGTACATAGACCTCGTGAGTGCAAAAAGAACAAGCCTATCAGGCTAAACTAACCTCTCCCCTTCCATCCACCAACTAAAAAAAGGGGGGAGAGGGGGGAAGGGAAGAAACAATTCCAACATCTAAGTTGCACCATACTATCATACTATCATATCTTTCCATCCTTTCCTCCAATCGCCTGATCTATAAATCCAGTTATACTTCATCTTACCCCGCGTATATACGTCTAATATAGATGTATCAATATCTATTACATCGTGTCGTATGCTATAATTACTAGTACGTATGAAAGAGGATAGATAGTAGTATGGACCGAGACCGAAATATGTTTCTTTAGCCACAAAAGCCACACCAGATAATGATCAGGAAAAATTTATTCCCATCAAGGGTTAACAGATATCAAGATAAGGAAGTAGTGATAGTGTGAAGGGGAACAAAAGGTATATAAGCTTAAGCTTGGTAGATATGATCCCAGGAAAATAATGATACGATATATATTTATTACCATCCCTTATTTCTTCCCAGTCCGACTCCACAGGCCTGCGACCATTTCTTGGACTTTCCGCTCCTGAGCACGGATCTGCTCTTCTGTCTGACCACGGGCATTGGCACGACCATCGATCTCCATATCTCCATCGTGGTCGCGTCGTTCTTCGATGACGTCGTTGCCGTTGACTCGTTCGGGCTTGGGGTCGACGCTCATCATACCGTCCATCATTAGGCCGCCGCCTTCGCGAAGCTTGTTGATGGCGCGAACGGTATCGATGGCCTTGTGGAGGGTGCGGCGAGCGTTGAAGTTCTTCTTGACGGTGGGGAGGAGATCTTCGCCGGAGCCGAACTTGTCTGCGGATGTGTCGTAGGGCGGGTTGACCCAGGCGTGTTGCAAGGCATCGTGAGCCGTCATTCGAGCGCTAGGGTCGATGGTTAGGCAACGCTTGATGAAGTCCCGTGCGTCGTGGGAAACACCGCGCCAGTACTCGATGGGTGTGAAGGAGTAATCTGCTGCAAGGATGGCCTGCATCTCTTCCAGGTTGGAGTCGCGGTCAAAGGGGGTGTAGCCGCATAGCAAGAAATAGGTGATGACACCAATGGCCCAGATGTCTCTGTTGGGTGGTCGTTAGTACTAGAAACAGTACTCGCGCTGGCAGAATGTCAAGGCAGAGGAACGTACACTGGCTTTCCATGACCACTCTTCTTGAAGATCTCGGGAGCCATGTATCCCGGTGTGCCGCACGTCGTTGTAAGAACGTGGAACTGCTCCTCGTCCATAATTCTCGACAAGCCAAAGTCTGCGATCAGTAGATCCGCATTATCCTCTGGGGTGCGGAAAAGAAGATTCTCAGGCTTCAGATCCCGATGCACGATCCCGTGGTCGTGCAGGTATGCCACAGCGGAAAGAATGGCACGAATGAGGTCCGCAGCGTCGGATTCGTAGTAACTGCCCTTACGGCAGATGCGATCGAATAGCTCGCCACCAAGCGCAAGATCGGTAACCAGATACACTGTCAAATTGCGAAAGGACAGTTAGCCTTCGACGACTTTCATATCAAGACTCCACACCGGAGATACACATACAGTTGTTCATAGTCTCGAAATAATCGACCAGGGTCAAAATGTTCTGATGTCCCATCGACACCCTTTTCAGCACCGCGATCTCATTTCGAACCTATCACGATAACCCCCACAATCCTTATCATTAGCCTTCCTGGTATATCTTGAGTTTCGCCAGCCACAGCTAGATCCCCTGGGTGAAGAAGTACCATGTGCTCACGTCCTGCCATCAAGCGCTTGTTGATCACCTTCGCCGCATAGTAGCGGCCGGTGTCAATGTGCACACATTCCTTGACGACCGAGTAGGAGCCGGCTCCCAGGGTCTTTCCAGTCTTGTATCGGCAGGGCTGGACTTTAGGCCGTTGACCTGCTTGCGGTTGCGACGCCATTTATGATTGAAATTCCCGAAGGCGACGGAGTTCTGTTTCAGGGGTGGAGAGGTAAGGGTGGACTGTCGATAGGGTCCGGGTTCAAGGCAGACGGATAAGGGTGGTTCGGGCCTGCGTCTTCAGCCCCGCGGTCAGTAGATGGATAGACAAGATAGCGGATCTTGAACCAATAAACCAAGTCCAATCAAAAGTCGGCTTACATACCTGCAGGAAGCGTGACGGGTTCACAGGCGAAGTGAAACGTGCCAGGGAGGTAGCCAGAATAAGGGACCGGCTGTTCTGTCGCAATGAGACGATGTGGTGGAGTCCGACTGCGGGGTTTCGGTGCAGACGCCGTTGGGCGGACGCTGTTGGAGTGGGGGGTTTTCAAACCAGCTGAGGATGATGGTCCTGGGATCCAGAACAGAGAAACAAGCTGTCAGCAGTGCTGCCTTCTGGTGGAATGCGGAAAATCAAATCGATGGAGATCGGCGTGTTGAAGGAAAGTAAGTTGGGGTGACAGATCGGATTGCGGTGCGCCTGCCACACACGTGCCGAGGTGCTAATCGAAGAATCATCCATGGATCGTGTGCACTTTGTCTCATATATTAATAGATGGATCATTGACTTGCGATATAAATTAAGCTTAGGGACTGATTATTACCCAAACCCACTACGGAAGTAAACAACAGACTCAGAATCCTTCGAAGATAAATATATGTGCTTTCTTAAGTCAAGAGCCTACGTGGAGGGGCCGGGATGTATTTCCGACATATTGGACAGTCCACAGAAGAGACTCGGGCCAGGCACCGGCACTACTACATCCTCGACTCTATGAGTTTCTTAGCAACGGACCAGGTACTATTATGCATACACTATGTATTGAAGGGAGGCAAGGTAATAAAAATGCTATTTACGCCATTCAAATGGATTCAATCCCTTCCGCAACGCCTATCCAATGTTGCCCCGGCCGCATGTGTATACCGAAACCGAAGTGTAGAAGAGTTACCGCGGGTATAGCCACCAACCATCAACGCTCAAATGACAAGCAATCATGCAAGAACAACCACATGTTCACATCTGTGCAAGAACTTCTCCCACAACGCTCTCCAACAACTTGAGTCCGTGGAACTTGGCCACGCTGTTCAAGATGTGCAGCTTCCTCTCAATCTCCTTCCGATCCATCGTTTCCACCCACACTCCACTGCAAGAGCAGTGCTCCATGAAATCACTGACCTTGAGCGTTCCACATTTCGAGCACTTCAGGTCCTGTGTCTGCCACCCGACAATGTACCCTTGAATTTGACCAATCAAGATCTCTTCCTGTGCCAATCGGTCGTATTCGGTTTGGCAGAACGGACAGCGCCATGGCTTGGTCGAGGTCTTGCTTGCGTCAACTCCGGGCTCTGGGAGTACATCTTCATCCCGACACAAATCCAGATCTCGGATCAGGCAGCAAGAGCCGCAGGTAAGTTCCGGAATTTTAAGGCTCGCGCCGGGATTCTCGAAGCGGCCTTCCTTGCTGAATTCTCGTACCTCGAAAAGAGCTAGCAGCTCACGACGCAGTAGCCGCGTCTCCATGGTGGTGATCTTCGACAGGCTAAGGACTTGCATGAGTAGTTTTACAAGTTCTAACACAGGATTGCGCTTCTCTTCATTAGGGTCCGACAATACCCCAGGGAGGACAGGAAAGATGTAATCAGAGGCTAACTCCGGGTGAAGGAGCTCGTCGCGCTGCCGGCGAATGAGGCCAGTGATTTGCTTCTTTAATGGCTTTGAAAACTTTTCTGCAAGGGCAGCCGAAACTTCCTGGCTATCCTCGTCACTAGGACGTCCAATTGGGATTTGCGTCAATCGTGGCGTAGAGTCGTTTGTATCCGGCCGTTTGAGGCCGTGCATGAGTTCGATATACTCCACAACCCAGTCATGGAAAATAGTCTGCATGGGTGTGGGCAATGTACGATTGAGCTGCCAGTGCATGACTGTTTCCAACTCCTGCTCATCAGACTCGACGACTTCTTGGCAACCTTTGCCACCGTAGTTGTACTCGTCGTACCAAAGCAGATAGTCCCAGTACTCCTTGATTTCGAGATCGATGAAATGGAACGACGGATTGGCTCGGATGGACTTGAGCACGTACTGACTGTATGCATAGGCATTGCCCACCTCCGTCTTAGAGGTCTGGAGCAAGAGACGAGTGGAGCTTGCAAAAATGACATTTGACCCAACGCGCCTGAATTCAGCCATCAGGCGTTGGAATGATTTTCGTGACAGCATCCGCACGTAGTGATGCAAAGACCGATCATAGAGACATGAGACTGGGCTCTCTACCCATCGAATCAAGTGCTGTACCATGATATCGGCCATGCTGTTTCCGTCACAAGCCTCGGTCCACCAGTGTTTAACCATTTCACGCAACACAACCGCGCCGGCTGAGGCAAATGCCTTCTCGGAATACAAGACACCGCCTCCGTTAGGGTCTGCAGACTGACCGGATGAAGCCAGAAGCGTATCTGCACCCTCCATCTCATTGATGATGGACGATGTCAGGATTGTGTTGATTGCCAGGTTGCGAACTTCCAACTCAATGCATACCGTGGTATACGCGCTTGGAACGTTCACTGATGGCATAGAGACCTTCTCAAGAGGACCAGAGATATCGTCCTTCTCATACCCCGCATGATCAGGCCGTGGATTCGAAGACCACCAGAGCACAACGTTGTTCTGTTGGAGCCG